AACAAGTCCCAAAAGGTGAAGCCGGTTGTGATTGGGATTTTGATTTTGATTGCGATTTTGATTTCCTTTTGCTTGGCACCATATGAGCTTTGGATTTTGATGAGGATTCATTTTTTTGTAGAGGAAAAGATGATTGTGATGGCACTGATGATCCATAGGTCAACCTTGTATGACCACTTTCCTTGCACCGACTACATGTCGATATCCTCTTCTCTTCACCCTTATACGGTATACGATCGTGATTTTTTGGTCGGCCAGGTAGCCTGCTATCCATGACTGATGGCAAAATTGTTTGTAAGTCATCTGGTATGTCCCACTCAGAATGATGTGGACATGGGTAGACAATCTCGGCATAAGTCTGTTGATATACTTCTGTAGTGTAACAATCCATAGCGTATGCACTTGAATCATCTTGGTTTAGATGAAGAGCAACTTTTATAACATGCCCACACGGATAACCAGATGTTTGCCATTTTACAACTACACGTCTTTGCATTTAGATCGATAAGCCCATTTAAGTTATTATCCAATACTTCAAACAAAGTGTTTGAACATGGTTTAACTCTCCATGACGTTGACTTCACAACACGTTTCGTTATCTTTTTTTCAGTCCATGGTGTAACACGACGTTCCAATGTTCCTGTAAATTTAAATAAATAATACTTAGTAAAATATATTAAATATGATAAGTTACGAATTTAAAGAAATAATACCTGCATGGTTTCTTTTCTTGTAGTACCACTGTTGAATAGAGGCTCGAAAAAACTCCATTAACATAGTAATGGGTAATTTTCGGGAATGATGACTTAGAGCGTTGATTGATTCTGCACTATTAGATGTCATGAAACCATATCTTGCTCCAAGTTGATGTACTCTTGACCATCTTTCAAACCCGACATCTTCTAGTGTTTGAGCACATTGAGGCAAAACACGTCTTAAACAATTTATATGCTTATTAAAATCCACTCCCGATAAGCTTTTACAGCCTTCCAATATGTCCATTTGTGATTTTTTATACCAGCAGACCTTGATTTTAGATTTCTGTACAAATGAACACCACAAAGTCCATGAAAAGCATATGGGAAACACCTTCTAACAGCGTTGTCAATTGAGTTTACCCTATCGGATATGATTGTCAGATTGCTAATATGACCTATGCAATCCCTAAGATGCCCCATAAACCATGTCCATGAATCAGAGGTTTCAGATTTGCCAACCCCGTAAGCTATTGGCAGTATCCATTGTTAGCATCCATACTGCTAATAAGTTTACTCCAAGGTATCGACCTTTCAAATATGCTCCGTCAACTATAATAACTGGGCGCATACAAGTAATAAACAAACGAATCTACAAAATAATATGCACAATAAATATAATCATTTAAATGTGAAATGCATGCAACTAATAAAAATGAGTCAACAAAATTATAATGATTTACTAACCGCAACACCAATGGCGATAAACATCAACTCAAAGCGTCCATCTCTATCTGTTTTTATATGAGTTACTGACCCAGGATTTTTCAGCTTTAAATTGTGACAATAAGCCGGCAGTTGGGCAAACGATGCTTCTGGCGACCCCCTCAAAAATTCTAAGGCATAACATTTGGCTCTCCAAGCTTGAGAATATGAGATACTAATCTTGAACCGAGCATTCATGTTAGTTATAATTTCATATCCCCGATATACCCTGCCATTCAAAAACATTAACTCAGCCAGAAAACCACCAACACCTTTTTGTTTGACTGTCTATGGTGAGGAAAAACTTGGGTTCTTGAACATGTATGTTTATCAAAAAAAGTCCTAACTTGAAACATTTCGCAATCTTTTATCCTCTTTGCAATCATACGCCACGTACAGTTTTTGTCAATCATACACCTTGTTTCGAAACGATCTTTGCTTGATTTGTTAACTTTTAGTTGATAGCCATCTTCCACACATTTCGTATACAAAGCTATCTTCAAGTCTTCCTTTGTATCAAAACAATAATCTTTCTTGATACGAATAACTTTTGTGTAACAATCAACTGCTATCTTTACCAACTCTTTTTCCGGTATCTGAAGTAATTATGACATATTCCAGTTATACTCCCGTGGCATTTTCTTTTTTTTTTTCCTTTCTTCGGGGACTTATTTTCTTCTTTTTCTTCTTCAGGTTATATGAATTACAGAATGGATGTTCAACATGTTCATTCACAGTCGTAACTTCCTCCTCATTATCATCAACAATATCTTTCTCGGCAGCGGCTGTTTCATCATCAAAATTCGGGTATTGACCATCAAAATCATTACATGCAGGGTCTGTTTCTTCTTCCATCACATCATCAAAATCCGAGTATTAACCAAGATCAAAGTCCGAGTATTGACCAAGATCAAATTTTGAATACTGACTAGTACTCACAATTTTTTCTGTTGGCTCATAATCGTCTAACTGATCAATACGAAAACTGGAATTTGGTGCTAAAAGTTGATTAGGATTTGGATTAGGAAAAGGTTGTGGGTTTTGAGATTGTGTTTGGTATTGGAAATGTGATGAAACAAAATTTGCTTGGTGATGAAATTGTGGTGGAACCATTAAATTTTGGGTTGAAGAACTTAGTTGATTACTACCCGCTAGAGACCCAACTTCACTACTTCTAGGTTCAACAACATACAATGTAACATCATCTTCTTGCGAAACACTAATGTAAGCAATGAATCGTTCAACATCTTCATTGTCGGTTAACAAATAAACTTTACCTTTTCTCTGATAAGATAGCCTAAATCCACTTAGAGGCTCTAAATTCAATTTCTTTGCAACACGTAACATTAGAGTTTCATAAGTTAACTTTTTTAATGACAGTTTTAGTTGAAGATTCATGGGTAAAGGCACATATTGTAAAACACCATGAACATTCTCCCATGACCCTCCAAAACACAAATCTATCCAAACATGATCAACATTAGATGATTTCATTCTACAAATTGTAAATTAATTTACTAAACAAACGAGCTATAAACTAGATATCATCACTAACTTAGAGAAAAACATACCTTTATTAAGTTGATAGTTGATAATTTGGGAGAGAAACCATTGAAAATTATATAGAAATAAAATTATGTAAAAAAAATTAGAGATGGGGAAGGATGTCGTTGGATATAGGAACGGATGTCGCCGGAGAGAGTGATAGATGGAGATGGAATGAGTTGCGATTTAGGGATTTAGGTTATGAGTTGATGCTGCTGCGTTGTTATATACCCAAAACATTTGTGTTGTGAAACTAAATTCGTGTTGCGAATTTGAAATTCAGTTGCGAATTTGACTTTTGTGTTGTGAATTTGACTATCGCGTTGCGAATTTGACTATCGCGTTACGAATTTGACTTCTGTGTTGTGATTTACAAATTCGCGTTGCGATTTACAGATTCGCGTTGCGAAATTGGAAACTGGGTTACGAAATTGGAGTTCGCGTTGCGAATTTGTTGGTCATTTTGGCAAATCCAAAAAAAGTTGGTTAATTCGTATATTATAAGGCATTTTCGGTCACTGAGGTTATTTTCTCTTTAGAAACAGGCGACCCAGCAACCAGCTGAATCTCTAAGCACTCCACCACACGTGCTTAGCCCCGAATCTGAACGTCTGAAACCATCAATATTCAGCTTGAGCCATCCCTGCTGTGGAGACAGCCAACTTGACGGTCATTCCTGATTCCTCCTCTTTGTTCAGGTGGTGGCGGTGGGCTTGAAGATGTTCTTGGTGCATTCGTAGACTCTTTTCAAGCACACTCTCTAGTTCCATAAACTCCATATCAAAGATTAATCTATTTCTTCGAGTCCAAAGATTCCATAAAATCAGAGGTTTGATAATGACTTAATATTTTTTTAAATAATTATAAAATAATATATTTTCAAATTATTTTAATTTATTGACAAATTATATATATATCTTATAAATATAATTGTTTAAACTCAAATTTTAAAAAGAATAATAATTTTTATTATTAAGATCATTCTATAAACTTTTAATTTAAATCATTTTTTGAATAAACTGAAGTAATTATAAGGTAATATTTGTTTAAAAGATTTTTAATTTTTTGACGTTAAACGTTGATATACTTTTATAAGGCTTGTACTTAAATTTATAACTAAAGGGATAATAATCAAATCTTTAATTATTAAAGTCACTTAGTTTATATAACTTAAATCAATTTATTCATTTTTGAAACATTTTTAAACCTTTAATTACTAAACTGTTTAGTAAATAAATAGTATTAGAGTAACAATGAGAGAAAAATTGCCCGCCCAAAATTATGTAAAACAGTGCTCCCCCTCCACATTAAATGAGGGTTACGCTTTTCGGTAGTATTGTTCGTTACTTAAACTCTCCAACTCTCTCTCTCTCTCTCCTTTCCTTTTTATTGATTTTCTCCTATCATTTCCCTCCACTTCCCTCTCTATCCACGCCTTAAAAATACCATAAGATGGAATCTTTTTGATTCTCTTTTACCCGTCAGCAAAGTGTTCGGAGAAATGCCTGAACCATGGCCGCCTTCACCTCCTCCAGCCATACTCTCGTCTCGCCCCATTCGTTTCTAACTCGCTACCGTTCTCGGGTTATCCCGTCCTGTTTATGCGGGATTACCCCCGGATATAAAGGGAATTCGGTGTCTCTGAAGCTGAATAACGTTCGTGGTTTAGTGTTCGGGGAAGAGAAAGAAAGGGTTTCTTGGTGGTCTTGTTGGTGCAAGAAAGGGTGGGACAATGACGGGGATTTGGGATTGGAGCTGAGATATTGGAGTTCATGAGAAATAGTGACAAACCCGAGGCTTTTCCTAGCAAGAAGGAGCTGGTTGATGCTGGGAGGATGGATCTGGTTGAAGGGATTAAGAGACAAGGAGGGTGGCTTTCTATGGGCTGGGACTTGGATAATGATATTGATAACCAACATGGGTTTCAAGAAACTGGTATCAAAGATTGGGACTTTATGGATACGGAGAAGAAATGGGATAACCAGACCCAAGGAGCTCAATTTGAAGTTGAAAGTAATGGGACTCCTAATTTGGCCCTGAATTCTTCTAGCTCAACTTCCTCGTCTGGTAGCTCACTGTGAGATATTTTATTTTCTGGGGTTTTACTTCCTTAATATAGTTTAGCCTTTTGACAGAAAACTTGTTTCTTGCAGTTGTTATTTAAATGCCTTATTGAATTTTGTTCTTTGTAGTTTTATCATTCTCGTGTATGGAATAAATAATTACAAATGTTTAATCTTTCTTTTTTGTGGAAGACTGATTTGATGTTACCTGTGAGATGGCTTTAGCGTTTGAATGTGTTATGTTGTTAGAACAATCAATGTCGTGGAATTTCTTGGTAGTTATATTTTTGTCATGTTTGGAATAAATAATTGTAAAGTCAAATGTGTTGCTTCAAATGAGCTTATAGTTTTTCCTGCAAACCAGTTAATCTCATTTTTGAAATTAGAGCAAAGGAGAGAATGCTGGAATCTTGAGAGATTTGTGTCTTGGGTGGGGTTTTGACAAATGTTTTTGTTTGTTTAGAGAAGCTGCAGCTGAGGATGATTGTGGCATTAACGGTATTTGAGTCGTTTAGAGAAAGAAAGGAATATGAATTTTGGGATTGATTTCAAAGACAAAGGTGATACTACTTGTTCCCAAACTAACTGTACTGAAGAAGAATCTCTTGTCCAAGCTTCAACAGATGCGGTATGTTGGATTTTTCAGTTTCAATATCATTCTTACATCCTTGTATCACTTTTCAGTTTAATCATTCTTACATCCTTGTATCACTTTTCAGCTTAGATTGGTTTCATATTTTACTTATGTGAATAAAGATATTTTATTTTCTTCTTTAGGATAATCATATTTCGCCACAACTGTTATCGACGTCTCATCCATTTTAAGATTGATTCTGTGTTCTTCAATTTGATCATCGGCTTTCTTGTGTGGAATTTATCATAATCATAAATTTTTGCGTTTGTTATGTTGTAAAAGACAGTTGGTGGTCCTCGTAGAAAAGTACTTGCATCATTCAGCTGGCCTAGTCAATTATACCAATGCCAATTTTTGTCAGAACGAGTCTCTATCAGTCATTGATGGTTTAAGAAATCCAACATGGAGAGAGTGGAGCTTTCAAAGAGCAGGATTTGCTGGCAAGGAATTTGAAGGTAGCCCATCTACTGTTTTCAGATGTTTCATATCTGAAATTTGGATATTAGATACTTCTATTCGTACTAGTGCAACTTACAATTTCTGAAACTATCTCCAACAAAACGAATTGATCAAAAATATTTCAGGGTATGAGTCACTCAAAATAAGAAATAAATCCAATGAACTAGACAGAAGAAAGGAGTCATGTGCTTCGGGAAAAGATGTTAATCACAATGAAATACAAAGTCGTCTTGAGCACTTGAAGTTGAAACTTTCATCTGTACTGCAGACATTGAGGTCTAATGTTACCGAGGTTTCATCACAGGAGGTGAGCAAATGATCTCTGTTTCAGTTTTTATGTTAATATAATGTTACTACTTTGCCAAATTCGTTTTTGTTTCCCCCTTGAAATGGAAACAAAATCATAAGTATTTTTGTGGCTTTGCTTGAGAATTAGGTAATTGAAAGTAAGTATAGCTATATTTGCAGTTCAGTTTTTCTATTCCAGACAGTTTCATTACAAGTTGAACAAGACCTCCTTTCATTTTTATTACTTTAGAAATACAAATAGAAAGGACAGGAAAAAAATTGAAAAAACAGAGGATGGAGGGAGAGTATTAGAGGTGGAGGCAGCTAGTTCTATTTCTGAAGGAAGAAAGAGTGATCAAGTGATATTTATGCCAGTGCAAGGAATGGATCAGTAATTCATGAATTATCATTATGAGATTTTCTTATTGTATCTTTCTGTTTAGGATCTGTTTGTTTATGGCGTAATTTAGCTTGGATGAGTGCTTTGAAAAAGAAGAGAATTGAAGCTTTGTTTTGTCAATACGTGCTGACTGAAGATTTAATTGGACTTCTGGATTAGTTAGGATTGGGAACCTTCTATTGTGCAGTTACGGTGTATTTATTTTGAGTTATTGGTTAACTTTTAACCCTGATACCTAGGGTGATGGAAGTTCCACGGACAGTTTCCATAAGCTTTCTGATGCTTGGGAGTTCCAGGAAAATGAAATATTGAATGCCCAGGACAGTTTGCGATCACTACGGGCAAGGCTGGCAGTTTTAGAAGGGAAGATGGCATTGGCAATAATGTATGCATTACTTATGCTAGTTTAAGAAAATATCAACCTTATGCACAATTTGTGCAATTTTAAGAAAATACCTACCTTATTTTACTTCAAAAGCATCATATTTCTATGTTCCTTTGACAGAGATGCACGGAAGACTGTGGACGAGAAACATAAAAGGATTGATCATGCTCGTAGAGCTTTACAACTTCTTCGTACTGCTTGCATAGTATGGCCTAATTCTGGATCAGAGGTGCTGTTGGCAGGATCATTTGATGGGTGGACAACCAAGGTTTGCTTGCACCTCAAACTGACTAGACAGAGTTGATAATTATATTTTTCTTGATTTGTGCATTCATTAATTAATGTACAATTCTCGAGTATAGTTAATAAATCATGTACATAAACTACCTGTTTTTGTTTTTCACGTTTATCTTGAGTTTATAGTCTTGTTCTGTTCGTAATCATGTTGATAGACTTTAGGGGGAAAATGTTTGTGATGCTATATGGAAAAAGAGAAACACAGTTAAATTGGCGAGGAAAATGAAACAATTAACGAAAGTCGCAAGTAAGCAGATTGTTGTGTGTCTAGACCTAGAATTCCTTTGAACTTTAGAATGCTCAAAATACATGCATCGTATCCCAAAATGGACCTGTGAATCCTGCATTTGTATGTACTACAGTTCAAATGATAATCAAGCTGTGGTCTCCCTTTGTAGATAGAACTGTTGAGTGTTAATGGATTGAAGCAGATATACTAGAGTTTGATTGGGCATATCTTTAAGTAAGAAAAATGTGAGTCCCTGTGGGCTGAGACGGACTTTGTGTTACCCAGTGTGGAGTGACATATTATTTACCTGTAACGGTCCTTGCTTTTTGGTAAAGCAAAACAGCGCCTGCTTTCCTTACTTCGTCTCTCTTGGAATGCTCTATATGGTATGCCGGCTGTCTGCAATAAACTTTCTTGCAGCGTCTGCTTCTTGCTTGGTGGGTTGAGTGCATACTCCCTTGCTTTAAAAATATGTGTTGTATCTCATTGTCAACGGGAAGTACCGCTTTCAAGTTCTGGTGTTTATATTTCCTAAAGCGAGGAAAGTGTTTTTTTCTACTTTTAGCTCTAGTTTAGCAGTGGAGATGACAAGAATTCATGCATTCAGTTCTAATTTTGAAGCATTAACAGTAGGATTCTGTAGTGTTCTATGATTTGCATACTTGACAACATCATTTCTCACCAGTTGTGTTGTGTTAATGTTAGTCAGACAAGTGGTTAGTGGCCACTACAATATTCATGTCTCTCACACGAGGGGTTTCATTACGTCTCCGTTTATGATAATCCTTTTGTATTCTGCACTTAACCTTCCAATGAGGCAAATTAGTGATCCAACATGCTTGTAATCTGGATTCTTCTCATTGTTTGGTAGCTTATGAATTATGATCATATCTTGCAGAGAAAGATGGAGAAATCGAGTGGTGGTGTTTTTTCTGTACACTTGAAGTTGTATCCAGGGAAATACGAGGTGCATATTTACGTCAACTTGGTTTCGATTCTAAATTGTTGATATTTACTTACACGTTGCACAACTCAGCTCCGTTACCCTGTGTAGATTAAATTCATCGTTGATGGTGAATGGAAGCTTGATCCCTTGCGCCCTATCGTTAACTACAATGGATTTGAGAACAATCTACTTATCATCACATGAGGAGGCCAGACTTCTAGAGGCATACAGTGGGCATGGTAAGATCATTCATCACAAAAATGGTAACATAGGATTAAATGCATTTGATTTTTCTTTTTTAGTTTCCTTATTGTAGACAAGTAGAATAGAGCTGGTAGAAGGTTGATTTTAATGATTCTTTTTCGAGCCATTCGTATAACGTATGTAAAAAAACCGATACCCTTTTTCCGTTAAATGATCTATTTTCCACCTTGTTGATAATGCAATAATGAGATTGTTTTGCTCATATTTCTTTTTAGAATTGATTTACTTTGATTCTGGAATCGTCTCCAAGAGGGTGGTGGAACATGAACACGTTCATATTTCCCACCGTTTGTTAAGGAACATGAACAAGTCTTTTTCCCTTTGTTAAATAAAAAGGCAGAGCCATCGTTCTCGATGGACTCTTAGGCCCATTAGACATAGCTGCGCCCTTAGCTATGGATAAACTGACAATGGAGACATGGTGCGCACGTGCTAATCATGGTCCACGAAAATAGTTTCTTTCTTTTTTTAAAGGAGACAACAAACATCCATAGACAAGACGAAAATAGAAGAGAAGTGTACATTTTTACCATTATATTAATTTAGAATTTGATTATTAAAATCGAATTAAACCATTAGTAATCCAATTAAGTCACTGTTTGTGCATTTGCAAAAACATTCATCCAGTCCCAAGTTCAAAAATTAGAGAGATTTCATCCATCTTTTTTTAAAAATAATATTAATTATTAATTATTTCATTTTTTATGTGTACAAGTATTGAAAATTTGTGATAATCACCATAGACAACGTCTATTTCAATGAATACACTGATCAAAGTAAATTTATTTTTAAGATAATGAATGATTCTTCCATGACACAATTGATATTTGATTTACTTTCTCAATTAATGCTAATATTTGGTTTCATATCAGTCTTATTTCTAACACGTATATATATGCACCATTGGGTTGAATTCAGTTATATATATGCAGGGGTTCCATTTTTCTATTAATAAGAGTTTTGGGTATCGGTTTATACGGTTCTAATGAATCAATATTAAATTTTGAAATATTAGCTAATCAATCATATCGTGTCGCACTGGAAAGAATATTTTATATTGTTTTTTCTTTGTTTGATTGTTAATATTCTTTGAGTTGTTCATCTTCTATGTGTGAGGACTTCAATCAAATTATCAAATATTTTATTTCCGTTGAAGATAAGATTTTTTAAAATATTTTTTTAATTCAATTTATATTTATGGTTTTACTTCAAATATAAATAGAAAATAGAAATTTTATTGATTAATTTTTATATTATGTTAATTTATTATAAAATTAAATTAATATATTTTTATTGTTATATGTTACAAGTTGTGCTAAACAAAAAAGGCTAGATTTTTTATTAAAAAAAAGACTTTAAAATATAGAAATTAATATGCCATCGTCAACTCAAAGGCTAGAGTATAAGAGTTGTAGTCAATCTCCTCTCAAGTCTCTGGTTGTTGAAGATGCTAATCTTTCGTTTACAGAACGTAATCTGGGGTTACGTCAATGTGAGAATAACGATATATTTTTTTTTGAATTTTTATGTGAACATGTGAATTTTAAGATTTATAAGTTCTTTTAGTACGTACAATTTTGTTAAATGCCCCAACAAAAAATGACGAATTTAATTTTGTTAAATGCCCCAACAAAAAATGATGAATTTTATCATTGCGTGTCAACATCTTATCGGTTGTTCTAACTTAAAAACATTAAAATCTAAAATAATTAAATACAAAAATTTAAGTATCTAATTTGACCAAAAAATAATTTAAGTACCAAAGTAAAAAGAAATATAATTTAGATACTTATTTTTACTTTAAGCCTAAATTAAAATTATTTATAAAATTTATCATTTATGATGTAAATAACTTATATATTAAATATAAACTCATAAATCATTTATACTTACAAAATTATTAAGATTTAATTTAAACGACTTGAAAATTTGGGGACAAATTAATCGGTGAAAACATGGGAGAACTGAGAAGCCGATGAAGTTGAGCACGAATCTCGCCAAGATGTTGAGTAGGTGTGTCCGAATAATAAAATATTGTAAGTACCATCAAACTTTGATGCAATCTTGTAATTTTTAGTCTTTTTACTTTCATTTAATCGTAAGATTTGATGAATTATTAATTTATTAATAATAAATTAAGCAAGTTATATGATTTAGATCATTGGATAATATTATAATCTAAAAAAACATTACAACGTTATGATTATAATTTTAACGACTAAAAGTTCCCTAAACCTTGAATTATATAAGTTAATGTAATTAATTGATTAATAAAAATAATTTAATTATTTGAATATTCATCCAGTTCATTTTACTTTTAATATTTTTTTAAAGACACTATTTAATTAATTATTGAATTTGGATAAAAATTAATTCTCAAATTTAATAAAAATGTGAAGAATGCAAAGGTTTAACTAAAAATAAGTGTTTAAATTATATTATTTTATATTTTTAATATTTAAATTTTTTGTCAAAACAGTGTTGGAAATTTGATAAATTGAAACTTTGGAGCATATTTTCTAAGTGTAAAGATGAAGAATCGAATAATTAATTTTTTGATTCATATTCTACTACGTGAGATCTTTACAACGATATCTCATATGCTCAAAACGGTTGAGTGATGAATGAGAAATTGATGCTCAAATTAGAGTACATGTGAATTGTGTTGTGTAAGAAAAATGAAAAAATTTATATCGATGTGATATCAAGCAAAGAAATGGTTTATATACACAAACCATCTTGCAAGTCATTGAATGATTAGGGTTGATACTGTTAATGGTTGATTGGGGTTGATACTGTTAATAGTTGATTAATGTTTTCTTTTGTTTATTACTTGTTTTGCTTATTAATTCTTAATCTCTTAAGATTGTAGGAGGCATGAGAGTGTCAATTTCTTAAGTAGAAGACTAGGTGTTCGAGAGAAGCGTAGTCACGCGCGCAAGTGTAGGGGTGCAAACCTAAGCTCATTGAACACTTTGAGGTTAAGGGTGCACACGTATGACGGGTGCGATGCGAATGTCCGAATCGATCAAGGCTTGTAGATATTTTACCCCACTACAAATTAAATATTTTCCTCAAGTAAGAGTTATATTTTTATTCGAAAACCCGGACGACGTGGGCGACGCGAATGTCCAGATCGGTCGGGCCTGTGGATATTATGTGATTTCTTTTTAATTCAAATATTAAATATGATATGACTTGCAATTCACGAATATATTCGATATAATATGGTATTAATTGATTATTTCTTATTTTATTCAAATACTAATTAAAAGCCCTAATATATTATTTCCAATTCGTCTCCCTTGTGAAACACTATAAATATTGTGCTAACCTGCTAGGTTAAACACTGTTCAAAAACTTTTTTATTTCTCTCTTGTTTTTGGTGATAGTCTATAGGAAGATTTGGTTCGTGATCTCGCAAGTTGTGCTACTGTGCGCTGATCATATCATTGTTGTATCCTGAGAGACATACGAGCAAGATATCTCGAACACCAAGGGGTGACCGAAATCCGAAAGTATGTCTTAAGGAAACTGCGAAGTAGCAGGCTTCAACTAATTTTAAGTTTAATACTCTATGTTTATTCGGGTTCATTCTAAATTGTTCATTCTCTTTTATTAATAAAATTTGATATTTTATTTCCGTCTCGAATTGTATAACAAGCAGGTGTATAACGTTTATAGCATTATTATTTTAAGTTTTACGTCCAATACGACAGTTAAAAATCTAATTAATAAAATATATTATGAGGGTTACTCAAACAGTTTACAATGGAGATGACGTTTCCCTCGACAACCACATTCTTCTGACCATTCTCAATCGCCATGTGAAATCCCTTCGGAAAACCACATGCCTCGACCGACTCAGGTGGATGCACGCAGCCCTTCCAGCCAACCAGCAAGCCCATCAACCACCATTTCCGTCCCCTGAATACTTGTTAAAGAATCTGAAAAGTTTTCAGTAGGTCTGCTTATCCATTTATTCAAGGTTTAATGTAAAATTAATGTTGAAATTATACTAAAGCCAACTTTAAAAATAAATGTCTTAAAAAAAATTATTACGTTTTCAAATACTATATAACAGTCGTTAAATTTAAATTAAATGATATGTGTCACTATTATATTTAAAAAAAAAATCTTTTTTTTAAATAAAAATTTCTGCCTCTTTGTCGTCCCCTACCGTCTTTCCCCATCGTCCTCTCCCTTGCACACGGTGTAAACGCAGCAACGCCGCCACCACCATATTGGAGCTTCGGTTGTTATTTATAAAAATTGACTCACCCCGGCTTGACTATATTGCTTGTCTCTGCTTTCGGCCGATGATGCCAACGGCGGCAATGAGAGGGCGAGAAAGCAGGGGGTTGGGAGGGGACAACGCACCGGGTGAATTTCTTTTAAATTAATATTTCTATTTTTAAAAATAAAAATTTCAAAAAAATATTATAATGACACATGTAACTTGACATCGGTCGTCATAACCTAGTAATATTTTTAAAAGTGTAACGGAGAAAATATTATATACTTATTTTTAATAAAAATTTCTTTAAACACCTAAAGTTAATTTTATTTATAGTTTGAGTACTTATTTTTATATTAAGCTTTGATTTAATTTTATTAAATTTTAAATTAATTTTATATTATTTTTGAAAAATGTATGAAAATGAAATTTAGGTTTAAGGTTACAAGCTTAATATTAGAGTAAATTATGTTTTTAATACCTAAACTATCAGTTTGGGTCAATTTTAGTATCTAAATATTCAATTTTTTTTTTCAAAATCATACGTAAAGTTTCATTTTTTTGTTTTATTTTAGTGTTCCACAATTAAAAACTTAACGAATGAGCTCGCCAGTTATCGCATCTACAGTTTTCAATCATCGAATCTCTCGACCGATGAAGCTAAAACTTTTCGACCCATTCCTTTTTGACCCCTGAACATAATTTTAGCCCCAGTTTCACCGCAAAATGCTCAACCTCTCCAAATCCAATATGGACTCTTTGACTTCTTCGTCTTTCGATATCCGTCATCAATCGTCTGATAGGCCTAAAACTAGACTATGTTGGTCGACTCATCATTCTCTCATGCTCTATCGTTTGGATTGGTTATCCATCCACCGCCCCATCCGTTAAGTTTTTAACGACGGGGTACTAAAATGAAACAAAAACTAAAACATTAAGTATAGTTTTGAAAAACCTAAAAGATTAAGTACTAAAACAAACCAAAACTATTAGTTTAAATACTAAATGTATAATTTACCTTTAATATTATTATTAAAAAATATTTTTAAGAAAATAAATAATTATTTTATATATGATATTTGCAAGTAAAATTATTAGAAGAGGAAATTAAACATGTAATTAGTTTGTATGTGAGATGTCGACGAATATTGCTCTCTATGAATGATATGTAATAATTTGTTAGACGGAGTAAGAAACTAATGATATCAGAGAACGGCGATTTTCCAAGGAAAAAATATCTTAAAATTGATGAAGATGATAACGAGGAGGAAAAAATGAATAAAAAAATCCATACCTGCTCATACCCATATGCATTTCATTAATCATTACGTACATTGTTCTTAGCAAATCTATCGCTCCATCGACACTGAACATTCATTACCTGCACCATAACGTCACTCGTAAAGCTACGAGCATAACAAGTACAGTTTTTTATTATAATGTCAATCGGGCTCAAACACTAATCTGCCTAACTTCTTTAATCGAGTAAATTTAATCTTTATGCATAACCGGTCAGCCCGACACTTGGATTAGTGCGGTTCGCCTTGTGAGCCGGTGTCGTGGTGGTTGCCTTGGTGAAATATATGTAGTAGTATACGTTGAGAACCATTGTCGTGACCACAAACACAGCTGCAGCTATAAAGACGCCTTTCCTCAATGTTTCACAGGAGAAATTCTGGGCATAAATCATCCCGCGATACTTGGTGTGATAGGCATTCCTTGTTGCACCCGCTATTAGACATGCTTCCGCAACCAAGAACGTCAACCTGCAAGCGCAGGTGCACCAGCAATTGAAATCTCAAAACAAGCAGGGTAAACAGAAGATATATGAGTGTGTGATATGATATGAGCAGAATGCCACATAGAAAACGAGCAAGAAAGACGATCAATCAACGAGATTTAAACATAAATCATATTTGGTCAAATGGTAGAGAAGGTTGTATTATGGCATACATAGATGTTCAGATTCTGGCAAGGAGATGAAAATTAATAGGGTGACCAATCAGATATAGGAAGCCCCTTGAAGTGTGATGGAAGATGAACATTATGCGGTATGCCAACCAGAAATACTTACCATGATGAAGCAAAATAGATGATAGACCAAGCTCGGTCACCACCCGGTGCTAATGGTCTTCCAAAGCACATGCACTTCGTAACTCCCATCAACAGGGATTCTCCTGAAAGAAGAAACAAGAAAGCACCAACTCCATAGCCAGTTGCAACATCCGAGTTGTAGACACAATATGTGGAATTCGATATGTTATCTTTAACAACCGTTCCCTGCAATGCGGCAAAGTAAAGGTTAAAAGAACATAAATGAAACAATGCACTTGGCCGAGTCATAGCCAGATGGCTGGCCAGGCACAAGGTATCCCCGAAGAGGAGGTCGAAAGTCGCTAATTACGGAGTCATATGCACCCCCCATTGCCTTACAAAATAACTACACAAGTAGAATTAACCCTAAACAAAATCTACCAGCTGCCCATATTTCCTACCATTTAAAATTAAACAAAGAATTCAGCCACATAATAAGAGCACCAATTTAGTCTATAGACCACGGATCGTCTTATTCTTTCACTCTTCTATAAAAGATTAGAGAGATGCCAGCAATGTATATGTCTTTAGTTTCACATTTTCAAGAAAAAATTGATGAGCTTTAATTAAATAACCTTAAATGCAGATCTTCAATGAAAAAACATAAATTAATAAAATATTCAACATGTGGAATCCTAGAATAAAGAAATAGTTGCAGAGAATCTGAGACTTCAAACATACCATCCTAACAAAACCCAGCAAAAATTCCCTCACAAAACCCACAGATCTCTACAAATCACAATCAAAGAGCCTAATTTCCTTAGGAACAAAAACACATAAGCTCAGAAACAAAGATGAATTGTTGAGGTATCGGAAGCAGAGGTGAAAAAGAGAGAAAAAGGGGCTTACAACACTTCTTCTTCTCTCAGCAGCAATGGCGAAGCCGAAGGCGACCAAGCAAAGGACTACGACCAGAAGGTGAACGAGGGTGGAGCCCTTTCCTTCTCCCATCTCTGGTTTGTAAGAGGAAGATTGAAAGTGGGGGACACAGAGAGAGCGGCCTTGTTTGTGTAGCCTGCTAGTGTGAAGTGCAGCAAAGCTTAATAGCGAAGAAGAGCAAAGTGTTTTACCTTGTAAAGAGTGTAGTACTAGTGGAAAGCAGAGAAAGGGTGGCTATTTTGTTTCTCTAAAAAGTCTCCAACTTTAACCCACGCCTTTTCTTCTCGTCGATAAAGCACGCGCCTTGATGAATGATTACTAATTTTCTACCATTTTCCGCGCGAGTAAAAACATTTGGGTAAATTCAGCGTTTAGTACTTAAATTATTAATTTTAGTTCATTTAAGTATCTAAACTTTTAATTTTTTCAAAATTATACTTAATATTTATTTTTTATTTCATTTTAATATATCGTCATTAAAAAAGCATTGTATTTTTATGAGTAAATTATATTATTTATACTCAATAGATTCCCATTCCTATTTAGGTACTAAAGTTTAATTTTTTTATATTTAACTACTCAACTTTCAAATTGCTCCTATTTTAATCACTCTAATTTATTTTATTAATTTTTTTTGTGAAATGATTTTTTATTATTTTATTAATATATAATGAAAAATAAAAAAATAAATTTGAAAGTTAGAGTGATTGAATTAGGAGTAATTTAAAAGTTAAGCAATTAAATTAAAAAATAAACTTTGTTACCAAAATAGGGGTGAGAAGATAATTGAGTGATGAATGATGAAATTTACCTATAAAAATGTGACACTTGCAAATCACTTATTAAAATTTTAACGGAACGAAACAAAAACTAAACGTAAAGTATGATTTTGAAAAAATTAAAAATTTAGATAATAAAATAGGCCAAAACTGATAGTTTAGATTATAAATATATAATTTACTCAAAAGCTTTCTTATATTAACTAAACTATTTTTTTCTACTCACAATATATGTACTAATTTTAAGAAAATAAAATGTTCAACGTCACAATCGGTCTTGTATTTTGAGAAAAATGTCAAATGTTCTAGATTTTTAAAAATTTTAATATAATATAGGTATGTTTATAAAATATTTAATGTGAATCTAATATTTTTAAAAAAAAAATAATATGATACTTAAATTACCATTGTATGCTGTTATAATATATATACTTGATCTTACACTTATTAATAAAGTTAACTCAAATATCATAATAACATAAAATAAAAACTGATGTACAATACATATAAACGACATTAATTCAAATACTATGATAATACACATGGTATTTTATTAAAATATAAATGTTACTTTATTTGTCTCATTAAATTTATCTCTTTTAAATTTTAAAATTAGTTTATTCAAAATATCATATTAAAAATAACAAATAACAATACTTATATATTTTATTTCATCAAAATAAATTTATCAAACTAAAAAATTAATTTTTGAAATAATTTTATTATTTATCATTTTATATAATTTTGTATGAGAACAAATTAATTTTCTAATATTATACATTTAGTCAACCATAGACAATAGTAAATGGATTTTAAGTAAACTACTGAGGCTTCGAGACGATGCGAGGAGATTATTTGCTTCTGGTACTGATTTAAGCCAGATCAATGGTAAATGGATTTGGGATGGTGTTCGAATAAGTAGAGAGAAGGTGAGTTGGCACAAGATTATCTGGTTCCCTTTTCATATTCCAAAATTTTCCCTTATTGTGTGGATGGTTACCCTCGATAGGCTGCCAACTAAGGACAGGCTTGTTCGTTTTGACTTGGATATTGATGATGTGTGTATGGTTTGCGGTTCTGGTAGGGAATCACGTGATCATCTATTTGCAGATTGTCCTTATACTAAGGATGTATGGAGTAATGTTCTACGGCTGTGTGGGATTCGTTATGTGGATTTCAACTGGGATCAGCGTCTTTATTGGTTGATCGAGAATTTGAAGGGCAAATCTCTTCGCAGTCGGATCCTTAAGCTTGCTTGGACCGGGTTTCTTTATCATATTTGGGAAGAACGCCACCACAGGTAGTTCCGTGGTCTTTCAAGCACTAGCGAGGTAATTGTAAATAGAATTAAAGTAGCGGTGAAAACAAAAATGTATAGCCTTAGTGTACACAGAGTTGATGAGGGTAATAGATACTTGTACACAAATTGGAACCTGATCTAGGCTAAGGCAAGTTTGTTTGTAACAGCTATGCTGTTTCTTTTAGATGAAATATAATTTACTTATCCAAAAAAAATCATATACAATAGTAATGGGATGGAAAAAATCTTTTTTAATGAGAGTTTTTTATTAAATTTTTGGTATAGAAATACGAGTATCACATCAAACAAAACATTGGATATTTTATTAAAAAATACTATTGAATATTTGGTGTAAGTTAGTTCATGGGGATAGTTTCCAAAGCTTTCTTACGCTACCCTATGTAGATTGGATTAGGGTTAATTTGAAGAATAATGGTCGATTTGCCATTGAAAGTACAAATTGAGGATGTGCTTTTTGCCATAGTATGCTGGAAAATTTGGAAATACAGGTGTATTGTTACTTTCAACCCGGACTGCGTGGAGCATGAGGATCTGGTGGCACAGAACATTCGGATTAAAAATGAAATGGTGGCAGGGGAGACTGTTGTCGCAGTTAATCGCAGTAGTGTGAGGACTGCTGCACGGTGGTGTACACCTACCAGGAACTGGGTCAAAGTTAACGCAGATGGAGCCGTAGGAGGGCAGATAAAGATGGCGGCTGCGGCAGGAGTTATTCGAGATGACCAAGGTAGATGGAGTTATTCGGCTTTATCGGCGGAGTTATGGGTAATCTATGATTCTCTGAGTCTTGCTTGGAATTTGGGGTTTCGTAGGATAGAATGGGAAACGGATTGCGCCATGGCAGTGAAGATTCTTAAGAATGATAGAAGGATGGAGCAGAATGGAGCAGTAACTCTTTGGATCCGCAAGCTGTTAAAACGTGATTGGGAAGTGAAGGTTAGCCATGTTAATCGTGAAGCAAACCGCTAGCAGACCAATTTGTGACTATGGCAAGGGGCAAAGAAATTGTGGTTGTGAGCTTTCTTTTCCGTCGAGGGAAATATAGGTTCTTGTTGAAGCAGCAGCAGCTCAAGTGTCGTGAGCTTGGTTACATATCTGAACTATAAAAAAAAATATTTATAAAAAACTCCTCGTTACTCACGTGGACGGGGGATAAGAACGCAAAGTTGTTCTCGGGAAGTGGCTTGGTGCCACTGAGCAATTGTGGGTATCAACATTTTCAAGCACTGCCTTCAAGCCATACGAGCGTGATTCGTAAGCAAGCATCAACAAATGGTACCATTACCAAATAATTTAACCACCAAAACGATGACAATGAACCAATACGAATAAAAAGACGGAGATGCAGAATCAACACCACAAAAGAAGAATCATTATACAAATTGTCAAATGTCTTAAATTAGGCTCAATTACCAGCTTCAAAATTTGTAAATATTTTCTCTCCATCAGCCACTCATCATCAAAACTTCAAAAGACCAACAAAAACAAAAACCAGTAGGAAAAGACTCATGGCGTTTTTTACAACTACACCTAAACAAACGCCTCTCTCCCAAGCTTATTTTTGTTGACGAAACTCCTTTACTTGCAAGACAAGACACCATCATTTACATCGAAAGAATTAAAGGAACCCCTCACAAACACATTTACATACCAACAAAAGGGTTCCTCTCATTTCTCTCTCTCTTACTCTGTTTTAAAAGTGACATTATTAAAGCACCTTTCGGTTCATATCTATGTACCGTTTTTTAGGATTGAAACGGGGTTCTATGCCAGTGCAGATATACGGCAATTTCGACGATCCCTGTCGAGGCAATCGAACCCCTCGACTCTCACAGCTGGTTTGTTACCAAAATTTGCCCGGACACAGCTACCTTTCCTTGAAGAGGATGATGGAGACAACGGAGGCAGCGGGATCATAGCCGTCTCGTCCCCAAATCGGGCATCCTGTATTAGCGGGTTAGATACTCTGCTCGGCGGCGACCCACAAAAAAATGGGGGCGACGACCCTATGTCTTTACAAGTTTGTTCCACTCCACTTCCACCCTGTTGAATTTCAAAAACAATAATCACATCATATACTGATAAATTCTAAGAATTATGAAGTTTTTCCAAAAACACAACGGAATCGTAGATTCGAACACGTTTAAATACATTTAAATTCTGATTTAATAATTATGGTTAATTCAGGTATTGTATATATATATATATATATGTTACAAGAAAGAAAAAAACATACCTTCATAAGAATCATATCTAAAACATCACTCCCTCCTTTTGAATCACAGACCTTCGCTTGATGGCTGGAAAACATTAAAAAAAATGTTCTTTATCAAATCTATTTGTTGAAAAACGAAAACAACAGTGAAAATGAAGGGCATATAAGGAAGAGAAAATTACCAAAGTTGCCATCTAGGGGACCTAACAGGGTAGTCGTTGAAGGGAGTGTTCAAGAGACCTAAACGACGTGGTTTCGGGCAAACCACGGTCTCTTTCCGTTCCGCAACCATAACCGAAACGGAAAAGGTGCTCCGCATCTCGCCATGGCTGCTTCCGATTTCGCTTTGTTGGATTGCACACCGGTTCATCTTTCCCTTTTTTTTTAATAATAATTAGTTCTCCTATTTAGCACAAACAGGTACTTAATCAAACATCGTATTCGAACATAAAACAAGGATTACAACCAACTCAGAAAAAGAAAGATTCAGATCAACGGATCTACTCAAACAAAAAATTAAATAAACAAAGTGGATATTTAATATCTTCATAGATCTACCGAGCTTACGACAAGTTATGTAAAAATAGAAAGAAAAAAGAAAAACTCTAATTTTCTAAAATTAGGTTTCGCTACAGACATGATTCAGATTACAGATGGAGGGAAAAACAAAGGAAATCTCGGAAAAAGCGTCGTTTGAAGAGCTCAAATAGTGGAAAGGCAAAAAAAAAAAACCGGAGGCAAATATTGGAGCTATAAAAGAAACAAGGAGAGACAAGTAATACCTTGGCTTTTAACTGTACAGGTACTTTGAGAGATCAGTTGGAGTGGAGAGTAATTATGAACAGAGCACCATGGAAATGGAGGAAACAATTAGGCGAGGG